TTCTCCATCCTGGGTTATAAGTATTTGCGTAAGGATTTCCTTGAGCGTAATTTACTTGGTATGGTGGGATTCTGGCCAGCAATGGGCACTCGGGCGCATTATGAGTGGCGATTCCGCATAACTCGCAGTTTGGAGTTATAACAGCGACGATTGCAGTTGGGTTAACGGTCAGACTGTCGATTTTCTGTGCTAGAGCATCTACTTTAGCGTTGAACTTTTCAAGGCTGCTGATCTCGTACATCCCACCTTTCGCTGCGGGTTTCTCTGCTGGAATTCGTTCACCTCCCCATTGGCAGTGGTTCTGAGACATGTTTTCGATTAGTTGATAGGCTTCGTCGTATGGCTTATCCATAAGTGCACCGCCCGCGGCGGGGTCTACCGTTAATCTGGTGTTATACAGAAGCCCATTGTAGAAAGTATGGATCGTCACCCAGTCTTCTAAACCATGGTGAGGACATGCTCTCATCATATCTTTGAACCTTTCCCACGCTTCGTAGAGAGATTCAGTATCTTTTTGTCGAAATCCGTTGATTTGAGCTTTAAGCATAACAGTTTTGCTTGGCGGAAAGTATCTTGCTAAGAAAACGTTCTTCAACTGTTCCCCCGTCGTAACGGAGTTGGATGGTAAGGATTGTAACCATGTCCAAGCTCTATCTCTAAGAGAGAAAGGAAAAAGACGAAGTCTTATTGCGTCTGGAGTTACTCCATTTGCCTTCACTGTGTCTGCGTATTGCACAAACTTCGTTAAGTGTTCGTTTGGCTCCTCAGTTGCATTTCCTGAGAATTGATTTTGTTGTACAGCTGACAGCAATGACGGTTTTAGTTCGAAATCGGTTCGATTGATAGCTGGGGCAGCTATGCTACTTCGAGGCTCCATCTGAGAGGGTGTAGCGTAGGCCTTCAGCGGTTTGTTTTGAGGTCCTTCAGCCATCTTTGCTTCTTCAACAGGAGGATGAGCTAGAAGATCAGGAATGCTGTGTCTTCGTTGATATTCGATGATGCGCCTTCTTAGATGTAAGAAGCGCTCTAGTTTGGCGATTGTCGGTTGTAAGATGTCGCCTTGTGAGCGAGTACTTGGTATACAATCGAAGAACGAGTAGAGGGAGAGAGAATTGTTAACCTAGTCTATATTGTGTAACAAAAGATTACACTATTGACTAAACGGGTCCCCGGCAACGGCGCCAAAAACTTGATCGCGACTTTCTATGTCTAACTCAATTAACTGCAATTGCACAGTCTATCGCGTAGTAATAATAGATATCGATCCCACAGGGACTCGTAATCAAACTAGTATTATCGGGTGTTACGGTGTTTAGCTAGGTTGGTAATGTTTTAAGGGAATAATAACAAAATAAGTGCGTAAACTAAAGGGAACTAAAGCTTTTACTTAAGGTATGAATGCTTGAATCGGTATGTAATATGTTATTTCTTCAGGGATTCTATAGGTCACTGGCGTCTTTAGGTTTTCAAAAATAGTTTAAGAAGAAAATGATGGTTTAAAGACCTTTGTCTCACGATGGTTGTTGATGCTAGTCACAACTCTAAGGCGGAACGTATGCTGTCGCTATCTCGTTCAGGGTTAAAGTTACTTTTTGAAAACTATTAAGTTCTAATTCCTTTTAAAGTGATGTCGTTGTTTTTAAAATGAATGCCTAGTTTTTACTATCTGGTCTTAGCCTCAGCTGTCGCTTGTTGGTTCGTACCTTTATGAATTTCCCACTGTCGTGGTAAAACTACTGTAAATAATTTCTCGCTGTCGCGACGAAGGTTTATTTAGAAAAGTCAAATTTAAAAACTGAAGCCATAAATAAGTTTTTGAAAAGGTAGATATACACCGGTTAATTATTGAATCCCATCAGATTATTTACTACATACCGATTACTCAAGATTTAGCCAGACATGGAATATAAATAAACAGAATGTAAATAATGGCAGAAAATAATAATATTCATTACAATAGGAAATAACAATTCAATTACGATTAAAATAGAAACCTGTAAATAAATCGATTTGGCTTTTGGGAAATCCTCCAAAATGGCGGCAGGATTTTGTCTTTATGCCAATTTCTCGTACAGAATGGAAATGGGGAGTAAAACAAGAATTGCAAGGAAAGAAAGAAACAGGAAATAAAACAACGATAAGAAAAATGGGAATTTGAATAATTGCTCTAAAGGTAAATTGGCAGCACTTCGTTTCTTCAATGCGGCTCCCTTTTTCTGGTACCAGCTACCTCCTTTTATAGATGGGATATTCCATGGTTTATTTCTTCGGGAAGTGGGAGTGATATCAGAGAATATAGGAGTTAGTGGTACCACTTCTCTTTGGCACTTTCACACTTTAACAGCACGTGCATAAAACTGCATTTTAACTGCATGACAGTCGTCATGGACCTGTGACGGTCGTCACACGTATGACGGTCGTCACACCCTTGTGACGGTCGTCACATCAGCAGAACTCGTTTCTGCTGCTTTTTGGCCTGATTTTCACTTGGTTTTCGCCTGTAAATGCTTCTTTTCTTTATCTTGCTCCATTTGAGCATGGACTTTGAATACCTGCAAAATACTGGGCAAATAGTGTGGAAATATCCGAATTCGGAGTGAAAACAGTTGCCGATTAGTAGAAAAGTACATCAATATATATATATATATATATATATATATATATATATATATATATATATATATATATATATATATATAATTTCGCGTTATCACCTCCTAAATATAGAATGATGCTTGGAAGACTAAAGAAGAGAAGAAATCTTTAGCAAGGGGAGCTGGACGGGATTGAGAAGAAGATGAGGAGAACATGTTTTGCAGTCAGGTGTTCTAAGTGCAAGCATCCAGTACACAATAAATCAACCTGTAAGGTGACACCACCTACTCAAGGTTCTCAACAAAATGCTCAAGGTTCTCAACATGATGTTCAATGTACTCAACCAAATTCTCAAGGTTCTCAATAACCACAAGGTTCTAAGCAAGCTACTCAATGTTCCAACTATGCAACATCAATTGTTGGAGGACAATAAGGAAGTCAGTCAATTGTTGGAGGCACACAAACTTCTCAACTACCAAGAACTAGAGGCACATTAGCTGCTCAACAATCAACACTAGGAATGCCAAGTAAGCTGGGTGTTAGGAGGCCATCAACACCTTTTGTTCCTCCTGGACCTACTATAAGACTAAGTGCTGCCAAGAATGTGATTGGCCCAACTACAGGGAGGATAACTCCAACCAAGAGGACCACACTCAAGAAAAAAACTTAGATCTATTTAGGATGTTGTTTAATGGTCTTAACTGATATTTGGAACCACTTACTATCATTTATTGTTATGCTTATGGATGTCATTTTGATTTGCTGCCATTTTGTGTAATGGATATGGATATCATTTTTTAATGTGTTTTGAACAAGTTTATATGTTAATGACAATTATGTGCTATGTTGAAATTCTGTTTTGAGTAAGAGTTATGCGGATTATATGTTGAACAATTATATGTTATGACAAATTATGTGGAATGATAAAATTCTGTGTTGAACAATAGAGCAATGTTACAATGATATATTTCACTGCTAAATGACACAACATTCAACTGATACAAACCAAAATATTTCACTACAACATAATTTTTCAAGGTTCAACTAATTTGGAAACATACAAACTTAAACATTTCAAATAATCATGAAAAAAACCATACCTGCTAAAACTACAATAACAAACATCATCCAACATTTTTTCCACTTCAAAATCAGCTTCATCTCATTTTAAAGTTGCTTCATCTCCTTCCTTAGTTCTTCATTCATCAACCTAACTTTTTCAAACTCCATTGTTGCATCATCTAATTTATTTGATAACTTTTCCAACCTAGACATTATAATTTTCCCTTTCTCATCTCGAACTTCCTTATAGAACCATTCAAAATATGCACACCCAAGTTGCTTTAGACCCTGCAATTTACAATGAGCATACAATGGATTATTCAAAATTTAATAAGCATACAAACTCCTTATACATAACACATACATACCTTAAAATGACAATAACCCGAAATATTTTCCATAACTCTCAGCCGTTGTAGACCTACGAAGAATAGTCGTGTCTCCACAATGACAACTCAGTTTTTATGGAAGATTCAAGCTTGTAAGCACACTGGGGTTCAGACTTTCATGACTTTTTTATTTCATGGAGGATGAACCATAACTTGATTCCATGAAAGATCAAACCTAATCTTTAATTTTTGGGAATCAAAATCAATTTAACAACACACAAACTTAGTCAAGAAAAACAAAGAACAACTACATATGATGGTGAAATAAAGAAACGAAAAAGAAGACGAAAAGCCATGTCATCAGCCACATCTTTATTTTCAAATCTTTATTTTCAAACATCTATTTGAAGTAAATAGACGGAAAGAAATCATGTACTCCATTTTTAATATTTAAAGGATTGCTTTAAACATTTTAAAAATTAAGACCAAAATAAACTTAGATAAAGTTAAGAGAAAAAAAAAGTATTTTGGCAAAAAGTAATTAACAAATCATAATTGTTCTGAAGTTCAAGTTCCACTCCACAAGGGTCTTTACCGTGCCTGCGAAGTTCAAACCCTAAAGCTTCCTTGTCAATCTCTTCACATTCATCTGACTGTGAGTTCGTTCGTCAATCCTCATCGTTCAATCTTCCACCTGGTTATACACGTATATAATTTTGTTCTTTTTGTACCATTTTCATATGTTTTCGTTTTCATAAACAATATTTCTGATGCATATTTAAAATTCATTATAATCGACTTAAAACAATGAAATTCAAGTTCTATTAATGATTTTGAACAAGTTAGGGTTTTGTTTAGGAAAACATTCGCATGATTAAAGTTCAATTTTGTTTATGGCATTAATATATATTTTTGGTTTTTAGGTTTTTCTTCAGTGATTCAGCAGAAAATAGAATTTCTAGATTCGAATTTGGTATTTCGTATTGAGAATTTGTATAGCAGACTTGGGATCTCATGGAGGCTGACAGGTATTCTTCAAAACTAGTTATACTTATGTCTGTCACATTGCATGAGTCGAACCTATAGTGGTGGTTAAGAGAATTGATTGATTTTATTTTAAAATCTTTTTTTTTTTATGAACTATAATTTGTTGTGTGATATAAACATTCCTTTCATAATGCTCATGAATGTCTTACCAGATTAAATACCCCAACCACTTTTGAGATGCCATTGGAGGTTTTTGGTCACGAGTTGCAATTTGCTCAGGTATTGTACTGTTTTTTAAACTGTTAATTTGAAAGTGGACAGTGCTTTGTGGAAAGTGTTCTTTTCTGCAATAGGTCAATGAAACTTGAATGCTACAGTTTTAATGCAAGCAAATTAGTGCACAGCTAGTAGGATAAGGCTGAGTTGTTGTATAGGTATGGATTCCTTTAAGAGTTTGTTTGAATTGACTTGTCTAAACCGGGCCTAAGTAATGAAAATGTCAACTTATTTCACCTACTTCATGTAATCCAAGTGAATATTTAGTTTCAGATGAAACACTACTAGGAGATACTAATTGGAGACGCTCCTCTCAATTTACAGAAAGGTTGAATCTAGAATCTTATTGCATAATAATGAGGGGATAGTTTGAGTTGGATGACAATATTCACAGGTGCACAGATGCTTTCAATGTACAGTAAAGACTTTAAGTTTCTGCTTAATTAGTAAGTGTTTTAAAAATCTTTGGGAAGATTAAAAGTACCAAGTAGATAAGGGGGAACAACACGTTGCCCAAGAGATGAATTTCCTTGAATTTTTTTGAAATCATGATTGACCAAAAGACATGTGCCTTGTTCTGTCATTGCTTCAGCTTATAGGCATTAAGATGATTATATGATTTTCTAGAAGACTGATATTTTCTAGTGTAAAGTCTGACAGTTTTATTTTGAATAGGACCCCAATTCTAAGCACCATGGAACTACAGTATGGGATGCATCACTTGTTTTTGCCAAGTTTCTTGTAAGTTGAATATCTTCCTCAAATACTCTGGAAAGTCTCGACATTTTTTCATGAATGAATTTGTTAGATCTTAAGTTGCTTTTTTTTTTTACTTAATGGTATAGTTTATTTGGTTTACTCTTTAGATGATCAATTATTAAAGCATATATAATGCATGCCTTATAATTTTGGGGTGTACATGAAGATTAAGTAAAGTGATAAGGTTATAATCTGAGATGTCCGTGTAATAATCACAAAATTTGCTACTGTGACCAGTGAGCCGCGAATTGATTTGCAAGAACTGGTTCGTGGTACTTTTGCGAATTGTTTCGTCCAAATTTGTACACAATTCACAAAGCATGGAAATAGCTCAGAAAAAAACCGGTCTCAAAACCACTTAATTGGGTAAAGGACACCACACTAATAATTTGTAATAGCACTATATAAGTATATATCCACTCCCAAAGTACGTTGTTGTTTTTTGTATGCTGCTCTTTTATAGATAATCCTATTGCTCACAAACTTTAGAAGTGGGATTATGCTAGCTTGTGGGTTGACAACTTAAGCTAAAAAAGACTTTTGTCATGCTGTCAACATTTTCAATGTGGGTGGGACTATTCTTATCCCATTATTGTTAGCTGTTAATTGTTATATATAAACCCAGATAATGTACCAACTTGTACCATGTACCAAAGAGAACTGCCAACCAGGTGACTATAGTCAAACAAGATAAGCCTTGGACTTGTTTTGGAAATTGTACATGAATAAAATTTATTAGAAAGTATATACACCTTTTGTCACCCATAGTTTTTGTGCTTCCAAGAAGTAGAGGGTGTTGAGAAAAGAGATAAATTCTATGACATGAATTGAAGCTTAAAAAGAAACATATTCTCTCTCTTCTTTGGGTTAGATCCTTTGAAATCGGGCTAGGTCATGAAGTTCTTTTGATATTTCGTTGAGTTTATAATTACCTTGTAATTTTTTAACATCATATTATTGTAATTCCTTATAGTGCATCTTATATCTTTTAGGAACGGAATTGCAGGAAAGGAAGGTTTTCCCCTGCTAAACTTAAAGGAAAACGTGTTATAGAACTAGGAGCTGGCTGTGGTGTTTCTGGATTTGGTGTGTTTTTTCAAATCATTATTATAAAATTGTTTATTAAATTAGTCAACTGTGCCTAAATGCATTCATAGGTCAAAATTGCTCTAATCTATACCCTATTTTTTTTTTTTTTTTACTTTGCAGGCATGGCTTTACTTGGTTGCAATGTTATAGTGACAGACCAAGAGGAGGTTTTGCCATTGTTACAAAGAAACATGGATCGTAATACTTCAAGGGTTATGCAAAAGAATCCTGGTTTAGTCTTAAACTTATGAACCATCCTTTTTACCATATGGAATACTCATTTATTTATGTTGAAGTGTTTCAATTGAATGTTGTTGGACCTTGCCATTGTGTTTATTCATTTGTGATTGTGTTTTGTGGAGTTGAGTTATGGTAGTATTAGTATCTAACTCAAAAATCTTCTGCTTCTAGAGTCATTTGGCTCAATCAAGGTTTCAGTGCTTCAATGGGGAGATGAGAGTCACATTAAGGATGTTGGTCCTCCATTTGACTACATTATTGGCACCGACGTTGTAAGTGCTGAGCAAGTATTTTTTTTCATACAAAGTAGATAATAAACTAACTCATTGATAAATTATAAATTGTCATTTACATGTTATTCTGTTCTCAGTGGAACATCATCCTACTTTTTGTTTTACTTTATTTCACTGAAGGTTTATGCAGAACATCTATTGGAGCCTCTGTTGCAAACAATACTTGCTTTATCTGGACCTAGGACTACTGTTGTGGTATGTCATTCAACTTTTTATACTTAAATTATGCCCTTCCTTTGTATAGTTGAGTTGGATATACTGATTTGTTTTATTTGTTTTGAAATTGTATATGAAGTTGGGTTATGAGATCCGTTCCACCAGTGTCCATGAGAAGATGCTACAGATGTGGAAAAAACACTTTGACGTGAAGACTGTTTCAAAATCAAAGGTATGCTATATGTTCTTTCAATTTCAAAATCAAAGGTATGCTATATGTTCTTTCAATTTCAAAATCAAAGGTATGCTATATGTTCTTTCAATGTCATATACATGTCCTGGGCTAGTAACATTGTTTTCTGACCTATTGACAAATATGCGAGTTTGGTTCTGATAGAGACTTGGGTACGACCGAGTGTCCAAGTTCCACATCGATTGGTATGAGATGCTCGGTCTAGTTTTAAGTGGCTGGTTCTTCTCCCTTAATTGACAAATATGCAAGTAAAGCATCATAGAGTGCAGCCTCAGAGACGTCATCTCTCAAAGGCAGTGCTATGTTAGTGACTTGGTATTACAGGGTGCTAAAGTCCCACACCAAGTAGTATGGGATGCTCGAAGTAGTATTTAAATAGCTTGGTTCTTCCCCTTTATAGCTAGCTTTTAAGGGTAGGTTTCCTAAGTACCTAGATACTTATCAGGTTCCTACATGAAACATCACTTAATCCTCACTTTGTGCACCCCTTTGATAACTAGCTTTTAAGAGTAAGTTCCGTAAGTGCTTAGATACTTATCAAGCTTCTACTTCACTTTGTGCAGATGGATGAAACATTTCAACATCCAAGCATTCAACTCTATATTCTAGGATTAAAACATTCAGCAGAGAGCAGAGAGAGCTCAGGTCAAGCTGCCTCTGAAAAAGTTGATGTTGAAACTGGCGTTAAGGATAAAAACACCGAGGAGAATATTGTAGTAGAAGGATCTTGTCTTGTTGAAGAAAACACTGAGGTTGATAGTAATTCAATTCCCCCACATGCAAACCTTAGCGAGTGGGAAGCCAGACGGTATGGCTCAATGGCCGCAAGGATTCTTAGAGATGTTAAAATATCATGATATCGAGAGTTGGATTACGAAATATCAGTGGTCGGTCAGAGAGTTGGTTTTCGTCAGGATTTCTAGCTGGATTCCGATCTTTCTGCCATTGAAGTTTGAGTGTGGCAATGATGAAGTTTGCCAGAAATTGAAAGCATTTGCATAATGGTTGGCAACTGCATCATATATGTCACGTAATTATTATTCTGTGTTCTAATATATTGCATCTACAAGTTGAGGTCTGCAGAACATGGGATTGTCTTTTTAAAATTAGGCATGTAATTTGGATTAATATGATTTTTAGAAATGAGAGTTTATCCAATAAAAAGTGTATGATTTTTCACTAGCAAAAATGTTATTTATACCCATATAATAAGCTGAGCTTTGAGGAGTGTTAAAGGGCCTAATACCATACTCATCTGCATTGGATGAACATGATTAATATATAAAGGAGTGTTAAAGAATACTCTATTTAACACTTGCTCTCTAAGAATACTGTCATGATCTAGCAAAGATTTTAGAAGAGGACACTCCACTCTCTTTTATAAGGAAATTTTAATTTTTTAAATGTATTAAATATTATTAAATAATTAATGTATGTAGTCTATATATTGTTTAAATATATCATTTATTAAATGAATTTAAAAAGTTACTTCTTTCGTTTCAAAATAATTGTCGTTTAGGGTCTGTTTGGTTCAATTGAGGGGGAGGGGAGGGGAGAGATTTTAACGGAGGGGAGGGGAGGGGAAGAGAGGTGAATGATTTTTTTAATCAGTTAAGTGTTTGGTTCAAAAGAGAGGAGGGGAGAGGAGGAGAGGGATTTTAATTAAAAATGTGTTTGGTTCAGAATGAGAGGGGAGGTGTTTTATTAATAATTTATAATTTTATCCTTATGATCTTATATAAGTTATATGATATTAAAATGTGAAAAATTCATGCGTATTTTTGTTGGTAATAAATTTTTTAATATTGAGTGATTAAAAAAGTATTTATTTGTCACATAAAATTAAAAAATTGAGTACAATTAATTCGACTTATAACTTTCCAACATAAATTAAACTATATGTCAATAACATCGTTTAAATTGTGATGAATCATATAACAAAACAAATATATAAATAATTTATTATTAAATATTAATGGTTCAAAATATTTAATAAAATGAATAAACAAACATAAATAAAATGAATGGTTTACAATTTGATATAAAAGAAAATATGATAGAATACCTAACAAAATCAAAAGAAAAAAAACAAATATAACTAAACATAATTTTTTTTATAAAAAAAAACAATGATTATGATTTATATTAAGTATAGAAATTATAAAATAATTTGAAGGTGGAGAACAATTATAATAAATTGATGGAAACAATCAGAAAAAACAATAACACGAAAGAAAACAAATAGTTTTGAAATACTGAAATTAAACTGAGGATATTTTAGTAAATATAATAGTTTTTAAATATCAAAACTCATATTCTCTCCCCTCCAAATCCCCCAAATTCGAAGGGAATCAAAAAATGTGTTTTGGAGAGATTTTGCTCCCCTCTCCTCCCCTTCTAAAATTTGAACAAAACATATTTAATTAAAAATTTCTCCTTCCCTCTCCTCCCCTTCTAAGATTTGAACCAAACATATTTAATTAAAAATTTTTTCTCCCCTCCATCTACCCCGAACCAAACACACACTTAAAATTTTTGCACACAGATTAGTGAATAAGAAAATAGCAATTAAAACGAGTAAATTTTACTTATAAAAAAAGAATAGCAAGTATGATATACTCGGCCATTTAAAATTTTATGAAAGATAGTTTCGGAATGATAGGACAAAGTATATGGCGCCGAGGTTCACAATGACTGCATTCTGAAAATTTGACAAGTGTCACATGATTGTACAAAGCAAGAGTTACATATCAGTCGGTTATTATAGGTCCGTATATTCAAATACAATATTTGATGAGTTTACTCCATGATAAGAAGTATTTGAGTTAGAAAAGAAACATTGAGTGCTTTTAGGACACAAGGAGTGAACGATGGGTCGGGTTCGGTCAGGTTTGGACCAACCACTCTGATCCATCCCAACCCGATTAAAATCAAAGGCCCAATGTAATTCAAAAATATTTTGTTTTTTCTTTTATTTTAAATTTTTGGTTCATATGTAGTTTTTTTCAATTAGAAATAAGTAGAGACTAACCTAGTTTAAACTTTTAGCCCATTTTACATATTTGATGATTTTTACTTTAAAACTACACTGTTTTGATACATTTAAATTTTTAAAGTTGGTCTAAAAATAAAAATTGAGTTCGGCCAAATTAAATTGCAATTGTTCTTTTGGTTTATCTGTTCATTCAAATTGACATGATGATTAAAAAAATCCACAATTTGGGATGAATTTAGTCGGATGGTGTTTTTCTATTCACCCCCATTGAATACATTATGATTCAGTAAAAATTTTAAATATATTTCATCTGGTTTTGATCTTTAACTTCACATATAAAATTAACAAGTATCAACTACAACTACTTTAGATTATTGGTGTTACGTCAGCTGAGTTGACACTCTCATTTGGATTTGCATATTTGAAATATGAAATGGAGGACAATTTCATATGGACTCAGAAAAAGGTAAATGAATTATTCACATTTGAAAAGTTGTTTTTGAAGATTATGGCGATTAATCAAGATTTGCTCTGATAGATGTTATTGAAGTTGTTTTTCCATCCTCAATCTACCTTTTTTTTATGTAGTTTTCTTGATGTAAAAAATGTTGGAGCAAAATGCAAAGTGCTTATGAGGAGAATAGACAAGAACATGTGATGGAATTGTATAATAAGGTCATGTATTCAAAGAGGGTGATTAAGTATGAGTAACATTTGCAACATTTTTGAGTTAGTATATGTTGGTATCTCTTACTTTGTTGATATATTGTTGGAATTTTATTAATTAGAGTGGGAATTGGAAAGATTTATTGACAATTAATAGGCAATAAATGAACACAAGTAAGAACTAATATAGAAGTGAATTTGAAAAGATTCATTTTAGTCCCACATTGAAGGGAATGGAAATATTAGTAGTGTTTATATATTCCAACTTGGTCAATTGGGTTGGGCCCTAAAGGGCACCCAATTTTGTGAAAGGAGTGAGGACACACTCATGACCAACTAGACACACGCGCGCGCCGCCGGCCGACTCGGTCCGGTCTAGAAGAATTATTTTTTGGACCCGAATTTATATAATTTAATTATCATTAATTAATTAATATAATTCGGTAGAAAATTAATTAATAATAATATTAATTAATTAAGAAAATAATTGGTTGGTCAGTAACTGCCATACTGACCAGATCCAGTCCTCCACGATTTTCTCATTCTCCCACCATTTTCTCCACTCACCACGAATTTCTCCCTACTCAGGTGCAGGTAGCTGCCTATAAATACAGGATAGAAATTCAGTAGTGGGTACATCGGATTTCACAAGTTCACACGAATTTTGATTTCCCTCTTCTCTCCCTTAATTCTCTTCATCTAAAATATTTCTTTTCTTGACTGGTCATTTTCACCAGATACTTAGAGAGGTGTATTTCTAGAGCGATTTATCAGTGTGCAACTGATAATCGTAAGTTTTTTGAACGGGCTGTTTTATCCTGGAGGCGTCGTCGTAAATCGACTGCTTTGCATATTTTGGCAGTACGACGAAACGTCTTAAAGAAAACGACCTAGTACGCGACTCGTCCCGATAATTTCCTTGTGCCAGACTCAATTTTTCAAATCCGAAAACAACAATTTTAAGACGTTTTAATAACTGCCATGGCAACTGAGGAAATTATCGGTACTACTGCGGCCGCTTCGGTCTCTGACAAACCTTTCAGGTTTGAGGGTTCCAATTTCAAACGTTGGCAAGCTAAGATGAAGTTTTTCTTAACTCTGAAAAAGGTTGCCCACGTTCTGACCGAGGATATCCCAGTTGTCCCTTTTGCATCATCTGAACTACCTAATGGTAACTCACTTGCAGATCCAGAAGGGACTTCCAAAATGTCTGACTCAGATGCTGCAAAAGCTAAGGCTGCAGCAGATGCTGTAAAAGCTAAGGCTGTAGCAGATGATCTACAGCTCCGAAAATAAATCGCCTTATGGCACGAGAATGATTATCTGTGCAAAAATCACATTCTGAACAGCCTTGCTGATGATCTGTACGACTACTACAGTAGCTACAGGACTGCTAAACAGGTATGGGAGGCTCTGCAAATAAAATATGATACTGAAGAAGCAGGTGCGAAGAAATTTGCTGTCAGCCGCTATTTGAACTACAAGATGGTGGATGAGAAGTCGGTGGAAGCTCAAAGCCACGAAATTCAGAAGATTGCTCATGAGATTATTACAAAAGGTATGCCCCTCAATGAACAATTTCAAATTGCTGTAATTATTGACAAACTACCCCCTGGTTGGAAAGATTTCAAAAATGTGCTTCGTCACAAAACAAAAGAATTTTCAATCGAGAGTCTGATTACTCGCCTCCGAATTGAAGAGGAGGCTCGGAAACAAGATCAGAAAGAAGAAGTCTTAGTTGTGTCTAACAACAAAAAGAAATTCGGTGCGGTTCTGAAGCCTACGGGCAAACCTTTAAAGAATCAGAACCACAATGCTATGAACCGAACTAAGAATGGGAATCCCTCTTGGGCCCCATCGGCTCCATGTGCTAGGCAACAACCACCACCTCAAAGAAATGATCCTCCGGTTTTCTCTTGGTACAATTGTGGGAAACCGGGCCATATGGAAAAGAAATGTAGGAGCAGGCCTAAACCTGCAGCTGGCTCAAATGCTCAGGTTAACCTGACTGATGAGCAACTCATTGCCATGATCACTGAAATCAACACGGTTGGTAGAAGTGATGGTTGGTGGATAGACACTGGCGCCACTCGTCATGTCTGCTATGATCGTGCTATGTTCAAGACATACATGAATGCTGAAGATAAGAAAGTGTTGTTGGGAGATGCTCACACCACTAATGTTGCTGGAATTGGA